ACACACACACACACACACACACACACACACACACACACACACACACACGCACACACGCACACACACACACACACACAGACTCATCTGTTTGCAAATGGGATGTCTGTATGAGCATGAATATTAACAACAGAATAATAATCATAGAGATGATTTCATTATTGCAATGTAATTAGATGCAGAATATACACTTTAATTATATATTTGCTATAATTGAGCACTTCTGGAATGCACTTCTCACAGCACTGACACTGTTTATCATTTACTGTGCGCACGATGAATAATGAGGGGAAAGGCAATCTAAACATGAATAGTTGTGGACTATTTACTAATAATTCTTAAATATAATGCTCCGCTGAGCAGTATTTTTTCAGAATGTTTAAGGATATTAGTTGATAATCACGAATAAACTCAAATCCATAGTTTGTGCCACGTACACATAATGTTTTGCTTAAACTCCAGATTTAGTCTTAAAACCAAAGCTGATCATAAAACAATATATTTTCATTAAAAAGGGTCAATTATGCGCCAATACATAAAAATGCATTATAAACCCAGCTTGTTTCCCTCTCTGATATATGTATTTACATACACGCTGTATAATTAATCGGGTGTTTGATTATGCCCTGAGTGCGCGTGAGAGCGGGGCGCGCGCGCGTAAATCACAGGGATGCGGGGGAATCGCTGAGAGAATGTTTCTTTAAGAACCATTACCTTCCAATCCGACTGAGGGGGAGTCTGTGGTAAGGTGGCGTACTGTCTCTCCCTGCGTGCCCCCCCTCCCCTTCTTTTTTCTTTCTTTTTTTTTATTTCTTTTTTTCTATTTTTTTATTTATTTATTATTATTATAAAGAAGCGAAGGGAGTGCGTGTGGGGGGAAATAACACCTTTTCTTGGGGGGGTGCTGGGGGTGTGGTGGGGGGAGGGGGTGCGCCTTACCGGGCTCCGGTTGGGGGAAGAGGGGTGGGGGGGTAGCAGGCACGCGCGCAGACCAAAGCAGGATCCCGCGGAAATGGGCGAATAAGGGATTTTTTTATTTATTTATTTTTTAACATCAAACATGGACACTACGGGCTCCCCCCTCACCGATGACTGTGGTAAGGATGCAACTTCACACACGCACACACACACGCACATATTACAACCTACTTTACATGCGGGGGGGGGGGGGGGGGGATAAACGTGCAGGATTCTGCTTATGTGTTGATAAAATGCATGTGTGCAAAAACAATGTGTTGTCAAGGATCGGGTGGCTAGGCGCTGTATGGGGGGGGGGGGGGGGGTGCGCGCGTGTGCAAGGTCTGTTTAAATTAATGGAAACAGGATTAAATTAGACGGACTGTGCAGCTCTTTGTCAGGCGTTGACAGGTGTGTTTGTCAGCTTACACCGTTTATTTAGGGCGCGCACTCGTTCCGGTTTGCATACAGTTAGTGAGAAGATGGTGGGGGGGTGGGGGGGGGGGACATAACATCATCATAAGACCTGTCGGTGTATATTGGCCTATAGCAGGAACGTGTTGTAGTTGATCATAAGCTCTTTACCAAAGCGCGCAGCTCGAGCTGTCACTTGTGGGTTTGCCTCGGATTTGTATAATGTCTCCAGATGGCACACTCTGGTGAAGACTGTGCCATGGTGAGTGTGTCGGGAGGACTTTCTGGTGGTGCTTCTTCCCACAGTCAACATAAATAGTGACGTGTTCTTTTAGCAGTCGTTAAAAACACAAAGAGACAATTTGGCGGCTCCTCTCGTGTGCGTCTATCAAAATTCCTGAAGGGACGAACGAATGTGAGCTCGTCACCAAACGGGCTTTCCTCCATACATTCATGGAAGAGCAGTCTGTGGAGAACTAACACACACTGTAGATGTTTGAACAAATAGTTCAGATCCAGGTGTTTTCATTCCCTCCACACAGCTGCTGTCAGTCCTTTCAGTGATTTTCTTCTTCTTCTTTTTGCCCTGGGGGCACACCATTTCATGGTATGATGGGGAGGGGGATGCAAGTGATGGTCATTATCACTTACTGCTATTCAATTGCTATAAAAGCAATAATTCAGATATTTTCAGGTGCAGTTTTTTGAGACGACTGTGAACAAACAATATCTTACCTGCTGTAGGTAGCCCTTTAACAGTCTGAGTTTGGAGAAACAGAGTTTATTTTTGACCAGATTTATTTTCTAATATTCACACTGAGCATGATTATGAGAAACTAGTCAGTGGCATAAACTTGACTCAATATTATGTGGTACTCAAATGTTTTAGTATCCGTGTCCTCTGAATTTAGAGTATTTTATCGATTTGAGTGTCTAACTTGTATTTGTGATATAGTTCACAATAATGTATTGTGCACATTATTTCACTGCCCACCTCCCACATCACACCCACCTTCGCCCTCCTTTGTGCCCACCTTTAGAACATTTTTTGAAAAAAGATATGGCAGATTTAAATGTTTTAAATATATATATTTAATAAATATCATTATTTTTAGACGTGGACAGTTTTCTGTCTGAGGAAAGCTACAGCTCTACTGGGATGGGTTTGAGACATTCACAACAACTTCGTGTCTATTTTGAGAAACAGTTTGTCGCACATATTTCTGAAAATGGTCAAAATTGATGCCACAAGAATGCTAACCTCTGCAAGTCAATTGTGAAAACTGAGAACCCCTGCAAACATTGCAAGACACCCCTCCAAAATACTGTTAACCAACTTAGCACCATGCATGGAGTCACCAGTGCAGGCCTTCTTTCGTCCCAGCTTTGAGAAGGCCAAAGTAGATCGCTGACACCTAAAACAACTGAAATTACAAAAATAAATAAATGAATGCATTGTGGTTCATGCAAAAACTATTATATAAACCCATGCACTGTAACACACAGTTGATGGTGATTTACATGAACCACTTAAAATGTTTTAAGACTGGAGTTGTATTAAGACAGCAGAACTACTTTGGTTTTGTTCTCGCCCAGACATCCTGTTAGCACATCATTCCAGTAAGAATTAA